AAGCCCAAGAGTGGGGAACATTTTTCAGGCTGTGGGCTTCTCGCTGGGGCCACCAGGGAGCAGCGGGTGGCACCAGAGGCAAAAATGAGTGAAGCACCAAATGTGACATTTACCTCTGTGCAGCAGACTAATTTCTACACACACTCGGGGCTTATCCACCTTACCTTTCCTCCACACTTTCCAGGCACGGGCCGCAACATTAAAGATCTGTGCCTGACCACTTTCTCTCTCTCACTCTTCTTATTTCTTTGGCTCCAGAGGTTTCCCTGCAAAAACCTGCTCTTTAAAGCTGAATCGGAACAAACAACAATCCATGGAAAACCCGAATGGCTGTTGTGGCACTTCAGCTTTAAAAAGCAGGGTTGGGGGAGGAACGCTGCGGAGCAAAGATATCATTATCTGAGCTCAATGACACATTCCAATCACACGCAAATATTCAAGGAGGGTGCAAAGCATGGCTTGTGAGATGTGGCCAATGTAGGGGAGTCTCAAAGGTCAGGCAGAAGGTTGCATTTCACACACACCCCGGGCCTGAGGAAAGATGCTTAGGACCACAGAGTTTACTTTCTGACAATTTCAAGGGGTTTAAGTATCTGCCTAAAATCTTCCCTGCTGAACTCAAGACATGAGCCAACAGTGTGGCGCGGCAGCTAAAAAAGCCAATGCAATTCTGGGCTGCATCAATAGGAGTATAGCATCTAGATCAAGGGAAGTAATAGTGCCACTGTATTCTGCTCTGGTCAGACCTCACCTGGAGTACTGTGTCCAGTTCTGTGCACCACAGTTCAAGAAGGACACTGACAAACTGGAACGTGTCCAGAGGAGGGCAACCAAAATGGTCAAAGGCCTGGAAACGATGCCTTATGAGGAACGGCTAAGGGAGCTGGGCATGTTTAGCCTGGAGAAGAGGAGGTTAAGGGGTGATATGATAGCCATGTTCAAATATATAAAAGGATGTCATATAGAGGAGGGAGAAAGGTTGTTTTCTGCTGCTCCAGAGAAGCGGACACGGAGCAATGGATCCAAACTACAAGAAAGAAGATTCCACCTAAACATTAGGAAGAACTTCCTGACAGTAAGAGCTGTTCGACAGTGGAATTTGCTGCCAAGGAGTGTTGTGGAGTCTCCTTCTTTGGAGGTCTTTAAGCAGAGGCTTGACAACCATATGTCAGGAGTGCTCTGATGGTGTTTCCTGCTTGGCAGGGGGTTGGACTCGATGGCCCTTGTGGTCTATTCCAACTCTATGGTTCTATGATTCTATGATTCTGTGAAGTGATTAACTTGGGCTGAATCCTGTCTGGTATGCATTAAAAAAAAAGCAACTTGCACCCAGCAGCTGGATTTTCAAAACATTTTAATTGGATTGCATTTATTACAATATATATATACTTTGCATTCAGTTCATCACCAAAATGAGATGTTACCTTATTTTCTATAATTTATTGCACTGATGCATACATATACAGAGGAAATAGTTTCCAGAAACATTAAGTCCTAAAATATATATTTTTAAAAAATAAAATAAAAAATCATTCCTCTGACCCTCAAATTACATCAAGCATTGTTGTAATTTTCAACACACTGATATTCTTCATTGCATGTAGCACTTGTGGAGCTAAATGGCCATTTAAATGTATGAAAATAAACAAGGATACACTTCTGGCATATTCTAGTTTAGAAGATGGGGAAACATACAAACAGAGCATATACTGGATTTGCATTTTTGCATTTAGAGTGCATTAGAAAAGGTACGTTTTTCTGTAACAGAAAACCACCAGTACACTGAAAGCAAAGTGAACAGTTTTCTTTTTCTTTCACAGAAAGAATATGAAGTAATTCAGCTATTCCAGGTTTATTTTGTTCTTTGGGAATTGAACAACGCAGTTTGAAATGTGTGCATAAGAACAGCTCAGCCAAAGTGAAACTATTTAGAAACTGTGTACCTGTTGCTGTTTTTGTCTTTAAATTAGAACAAAGCTTTTAAAAAAGTCTTACATCTATTATTCCCAATGACCATCAAAAATAGTTGAGGAAAATGTCCTTGCAGATACCCTATGCAATTGCATTCAACAGGGTATATGCAGAGTGATCTTCAAATATGCTTTAAAAAGTAACTTGAAACAAAATGTGTAACAGGGCTTAGTAACAGCTTTATTCTCTGCAAATAGTTTCACATGAACCTGAAGAAAATCCACAGCTTCAATTAGGTGACAACCCCAATGCTGTTAGAGGAGATAATTTATTATCACTTACAACCATGGCAGACCCAAGCAGCTCCAGGTCAGCTGGAAAGCAACTGGGGTCCTCAAAAAATGAACGTTTTGTGGCATGTGAGAGTGTCTATAAATAAGGTCAAGGGTTAAGTGACTACAAAACTCAAAATCTCCTCCTTAAATAGCTAGGATATACACACACACAGTGTCCACGTTAAGTGCTGCTGAGCTTAACTCATCTGTGATAGTCAAGAAACTCGCCCGTTAAAGGCAATGTGGTACAGAATTGCTCAACTCTGGTTGGGTTACACACCCAGTTTGTTCTAAACCACTGGGAAAACAAATATTGGCAAGTCCATTTTTACAGTTCAGCATGTAATGGGTCCATCTGCAACAGGAGAAATGTCTCTCTAAAGCTGATACCTCTTACCCTTGCAGATGGTCTATCTATGGCTTTTTTTTTTTTGGGTTCCCAAGCTGAAGTTTTTTGCTTATGAAACATTGCCAGAGATTTGGAAGCTAAAAATTGTATACCATGTTGCTTAATTGGTAAATTTGACAGTCTAAATTTCCACTATTTATCAGATCAATGCCTGGACTTCTCTATGCAGCACTGCCAAGTTTTTGTCTCCGTGCAAATGCACCCAATTATTCTCCAAATTCACTTCTGTGGGAATCGGTGCATATTCACGAATGACGGAGAAAACGCTTGAGCCAGTTCCCACAGCCCGGGGCAAGATGCACAAAGTAGCAGGCTTGCGTGCATGTACCTCACCATTAAAGGGAGGGGACCCCATGTGCAAACAAGTCCTGTGTGTGCACAAGCCCTCTTCAGCTTGGACTCCAGTGACAAGAGTATTTTATTTTCTCATGCTACAGTTCTGCTGGTTTGGAAAGGTGTCCTAGCCAGCCCCACTTCTCCTTCCCAGTCAAACAGCCGATCAGTGGGATTTTGTGGCTGTTTTAGCTCAGAGTGTTGTGCCCCTTTGGCTCATGGAGGACCAGTAAACTTAATAAAGGCAAGCACACTCCTTTGGAAGCACTTAGCATCCTGCCCCAACAAAGGAAGACTCTGTGTCTACTTTAAGTCCAGTCTTGTAAGCAGAGACCAGACTCTGTAAATACAGGTGGATACCATTTTGCATTTGTCCAATTGACACAGGACCGCCAGCGCATGGGTCCTTTTGGACCCAGAAGAGAGGAGAACAGGGGCAAGGCGAACTTACGGATGCTTCGCCAACACAGACAGGGGCCAGGAACAGAACTTTCATGCAAAATGGTCACCATCTGTATATATACATACAACTGCATACACCTTAATCATGGGGCTATTCTAAAACTAGATGTGGGCTACATGTCTTACAGAATTAATGCTACAACCCTATACACTTACTTTGCAGGGGGGTGGGGTACTGGAGCTTACTTCGGATAAGACATGTATAGAACTGCACTGCAGCCTGCAATCTGATATACACACCTGGAACTAAGCCTCACTGAACACAGTGGAACTTACGTCCAAGTAAATATGCATAAGGTTGTGCTGTAAACATAGAAGGATAATTGTTTGGCAGGACCTGGGACCACTGAAGCCAAAGTGAAGTCACTCCACTGAGTTTCTAGTGGGAATTGTGAAAGAGCAGTTTCACAGTGCTAATTTCTCTCTGGTGCCAATGTCATTTTCACTATCAATGGCAAAAGTACCACTGATATGAAGAAGAGAGACTAGGGCTGCAATCCAGTACAGAGTAAGGAATATTTATTTATATATACAGTCATACCTCAGGTTAGACGCTTCAGGTTGCGTTTTTTCAGGTTATGGTCCGCCGAAACCCGCAAGTACCAGAACGGGTTACTTCCGGATTTCAGCGGTCGTGCATGCACAGAAGCACTAAATCGTGCTTTGCGCATGCACAGAAACGCCGAATCGCAACCCGCGCAGGCGTGCCGCTGTGGGTTACGGATGCTGCAGGTTGCGAACGTGCATCCCACATGGATCACGTTCACGACCAGAGCGTCCACTGTATTTATATATATTTAACTGTGTGCTGGATTGCAGCATTTGGAGCCAATTCCAGCTAAAGTTAGCTGGAACAAACAGCACAACCGTATACATATCTCCTCAGAAGTAAGCCCCACAGGCTTCAGGGAACCTATTCCCAGGGTAGAGGGTACAGAATTGCAGCCTAAGTCACTGAATCCAGCAGAACAGGTTACCCATCCTGGTGAACTTAAGTTCCATTGAAAGTTGGCATTTGACTGCCTCGAGAAGGAGACCATGGTGTGCCTCTCCAGGGGTGAAGTCAAATTGTTACATTAGCAGCACCAAAGTGACTTCTAAGCCTGGGCAGTGAGTAAGCAGGACCTGGGCTGTCAGGACCCCCCCCCCCTTTCTACCTCACTGGTGTGGTCCAAAGGAAAGCAGAGCAATCTTAGGGACTCCACTCCAGATCTGTGTAGGGTGTACTCTTTAGACTTTTACTCTCCCAAAGTTATCCCACAAGGGCAACGGAGGTTTAGGATCAGTTTTTTCCTACTCCTAGATGAGCTACTTTCCCAGGTTAATGAGACCCATCTGCCCCTCACTTCCCTCTGAAGTAGAGGCAGAAACCACAGTTTTGACCACTGGACCCACAATTGGTCTTGTCCGCTCAGTGTGCCAGAGCCTGTCTTCACATGCAGGGGAAGCCCCTAACTCACCAGTGGTACTACTGGTACCATACCCCCCTACAACGCAGTACATGTAAAAAAGGGCACATGCTAAAGGAAGGAAGTAATGTGACTTAATCATTATGACTCAACGGAAACCATTTTCTTTACTGTTGACCTATTAAAACTGTAATCATGAAATACATATTTTTTTTAAAATGGCAGAATACAGAGATGACAATTTTAGGCTCTTTGTACATATTATTGCCTAACAACCTGTCCGAATAAATGGAGAACCTGCTGAATTAAAAAGAAACTGCGGGTGGGGTGCATCTGAAGGTGGCTTCCAAAATGGCTGCTTCCCAGTTGCTTTTCTCCTGGTGGCAGCAGTAGGTTACAGTACATCTGCTCTCCAAGAACAGGAGAAGAGAAATGGCTGGGGAAAACCAGCTTCAGAGGGGAAGCAAGATTGGGGGAAGAATTCAGCAATGCTCTTTTGCCCGCAATTTCGCTTTAAATCGCCCCCCAAACCCTGAATTTAAAGAGATCTGAGAGCAACCCACAGATCTGGCATCATCACGCCTGGCCTATCAGATAATACCCCCTAAGGACGCAAGAAGAGCCCGCTGGATCAGGCCAATGACCTGGTTAAATAAATATCATTTAAAACAATGCAACTGTAAAAAAAAAACATTCTTTTTTGTTGTTTTGCTTTAGTATTATTTGGCATATGGCAAGTGGAAGCCTGTGTTTTTAACGAAGGCTGGCAACTTATAAAAAGCAGCATCTCTGAAAAATAAAATATAAATTACCTGGAACATTCACTTGTAATGCATACCATTAAATCTCAAGGCAGTCAAATGCCATCAGCTACGCCCCCCAAAAAAATTAGGACCAACCAAGACCTATTGCAATCATGCAGAGAAGAAAAAAACATAAGATTGAAACATAAAAAGAAAACTCCCGGTGACAGCTGGTAATATTATATGGCACTCAAATTATATTAAAGTTGTGGGGAGAGAACCATAGCAAGAGAAATCCTTCTCCTTCCCCATTCAACAAAGGAGTGCACATCAATCACAGCTACAGATAGTGCAAATGGGGGGGGGGAAGTGTTGGCCCAGCAACACAGCTCCCTTGAAGTTTATAAAGCAAATAAAGGCCACTTCTGAAAATGCTTTTTTCTTTTTCGCAGTTATGGACGGAAACCAATGTACCGTGTACCTGCCAAGAATGGTACATATGCATTTCAATGGAACCCGTTTTCGTGGCGAACACACACAGAAGGAGCAACCTGGAAAGACCTCCGTATATTTTGCTGGGAAACACACTGATTGGCAAACAGCAAAGTCATGACTAACCTCTAAGACCATTGATTTCAATGGGTCTACTCTCGGTTTTACAGGCACGTATGTCATGCCCAGCTGGCTCAAGGGTGCATAAGGTATCTGAGCAATTGTATCGTATGAAATGGCCTGAAGGGTATTGTGATGCAAAAGAACCAGCATGTCCAATTACTCCTTAATTCAGGCACAATTTGATGTGAAATAAGAACAGCAGCTCCAGTCCCAAACCTTTTCTTACTTTAAATTATAGCCTTGATCCAGATTAGTCAACATGCACACACGTCAGGCAGCACTCAGTGCTGCTTAACCCCCTTCTTTTGTTCATTTTAAGGGAGCTGCACCGCAATGTTTCTTACGCAAACACACAAGACCTTTTTTAAAAACAAAAAGCAACAACCCTCAAGTTTAAAATCCAGTTTGGCATTATAGAACTGGGAGCCACACACTCAGCCAGTTCAAGCTAGTACAGCAATAGTGACAATAGCTGTGTGCTATATAGACTAGCTGTAGACCAATTGACTTGACCAATTGACTTGACCAATTGATAAATCAAATCATACTTTGTGGATCAAAAGGTGGCGGTTCTAGTAAAAGCAGGCATTTCCGCTCAGAGGTTTCAAGTGCTGTCTTCCTTCTCTACCTGAAAACTAGGGGCCGGAAGACCCCAAGTGATGCCTCAGACTGGAACCACACCCCACAAAAAAAGCAGGCATGGGAAAAATGAAGACACATTGCTTTCTAGAAATCCCATCATTATCATCAAGGCACTCAGAAATGCCCTTCTGTAATAAGACTATATGGCATGTATCTTGAGCCTGCTGTTGCAGGAGATCTGGGAGCGTGACATTCAGAAATGTTACTTTACAGGACAAAAAGAAAAAAAGAAATTTCTGAACTGCACATTTAAACAAAATGTTCACTACATCCCAAACTCCAGGTGAACTGCAAATGGCAAAATCCAGGTGCATCACCGAAGAGTGTTCAAACTGCTGCCGAGAAGGTTCAGAAGCCGAATATTATGGCACATGAGGATGCATCTCCTGGTTTTCAAAAGGTGGCAGCGGATCCCTCCAATATGTGAACTGACTGTAGGTGTCAGAACAGGGGAAGTCTGAAGAATGGCTTCTTTTCAACAGGGGAAATACGTGATCTACCACTTCGCAGAGCCTCACGTACCTGCACAAAAAGAAAAAGTTTATTATTACCACTGCCTAATAAATTGGATATGGTGATATCACGGGCTGCATTAATACAGCTATTTTATCCACATTTTAAGACAGACTAATTAAGGAAATTACAACAGACCCACAGAGTCATATATCCCGTTTCTGAATCTGATGTGTGACAGTACGATTTGCTGAAGCGCTGCTGAGCTAACATAGGATTGCCTTGGAGCTTAAATGCAACGGCACAGCTGCAAATGTGCTGAAAAACAAGCTTTTTTGTTCAAATAAAGAAAACTGGGAATTTCTCATTTTTAACTACTGAATCACAGAGTGATTACCTAGCACGTAACTGAAATAAATCTTGATAATATCACAACCTGAACTAGATGACCCTCTTAACTCTGCCATTCTGTGATTTCAAGGCGGTCCAGTTAATTTCTACTGTAACGCCCAGCATCAAAGGGCTTAGAGAAAGAGAACTCCACCCCACATTAGGAGCAAGTGGACTGATACTCACGATGAGATGTTGGTCTTTGCATGCTCTTGAATTAGCTCCCCTTTAGGATTAACAGTGAATATTCTGTTTAGTGAAACTCCCACTTGCTTGTATGAATACACATCCTGCGGGGGGAAACAACAAACACAAAAGATAGGTTTCCCCTCAGTATAAATGGAAAACAGCTTACCTTTCTAAAATGCTTATGTGTTTTACTTCACAGGGTTGTTGTGGGGATAAAACAGAAAAGGGTCAAGTCATGGGCTTGCTAAATCCCCATGTGCATGAATGTGATGCGAATTGGTGGGAGTATCAATTTGATGACTGAGGATAACCTGGAAAGTCAAGACCCACCAAACTGCCAATCCCATAAGACGTTTGTGCAGGTCTCCACGTTCCTCTCCACTTGACCAATTGATATGGATTGAAGAAATGTTTCACAAAACCACAGAGAAGTAACATGCTATTGCAAGTAGCTTGAAACTACAGCATGAACCCCAAACATTATCTACAGAAGCTCCTCTTTGGACGAGTCTTCATAAAATAATAGTATCACAAAGGTACTTACAGCAGGCCTATTGCCAAAAGCAGCATAAAACGGTTCTGTGTTGGGATGAAACAAGTTTTTGATGTCCGTTAGGCACTGAACTTTAAACTTCTCTGGCTTCTTCTCTATTACTTCCCTGAAATAAACCATCACACACAAAAACAGAAGTGTTTTAGAAGTGCTTTATCAATGCAACACGGTCATTTTTCTTAGGCTAAACACAACATTTTAACTGACTGAACTTCAGATTCCCCCAAAAAGAATTGTAAAGATACTCATGGTTCCTTGTTTTAAAAAATGGAAGCTTCCAAACCTAAGTGGCATGGTTAAAGATGAGGCACAAATAATATGTTCACCTCTTTAGTCTGATTGATTTAACTTAAAAAGAGTTAGGGAAAGGTAAAGGTGACCGACTCTGGGATTGCGGCGCTCATCTCACTTTATTGGCCAAGGGAGCCAGCGTACAGCTTCCAGGTCATGTGGCCAGCATGACTAAGCCGCTTCTGGCAAACCAGAGCAGCGCACAGAAACGCCGTTTTACCTTCCCGCCGGAGTGGTACCTATTTATCTACTTGTACTTTAACGGGCTTTCGAACTGCTAGGTTGGCAGGAGCAGGGACCGAACAACGGGAGCTCACCCCATTGTGGGGATTCGAACCACCGACCTTCTGATCAGCAGGTCCTAGGCTCTGTGGTTTAACCCACAGCGCCACCTAATTTACCCACTAACATTAAGGGATTTAATTGTACTCTGTTGGACTGTGATCGAGGACCAAAAATAAACTAATGTCACACGTGTAAACCACTTTTGTGCATTTTATGCAAGCCTCTGCATTCTAAGGAAATAGCATCACTGACGCAACCACAAAATCCATTTCGAGCACACCCTTATAAATAACTAGCAGATATGGTTTGGCCCACTCAAGTCTCATTTTGCAATAAAGATGTGGGATCCTTACAGCTGAAGCTCAGAAAATATTTCGGACAAATAAGCAACCCCAACCACTAGCAAGCCAGGCAACCCTCAACCCAGTGAAATTTCTAGCATGGCAAGTTTCCGTGTTCTCTTACCTGTGGAAAGCTGAGAACAAGCTGCTGGGACTCAGTAATACAGGACCTTGAGGCAGCACTGTTCCTCGTTCGTTAACCCAGTGCAAGTATCCTCGGGTCATATCTGCCATTCCTATCGCACGTGCAGAACAGTATAGGAACTTATACCCATTTCTGTTTCAAAAAGAGAGAATAGTCGCCATCATCAGAAATACACTATCCAAAATCAGCTTTAAGCATGTAAGCTGATATTGCCTTTTAATATCTCCCATGTATTTGATAAATCGTATTATGGAATATAGCATTTCCTTCCATTACACCGGTCCAGCCATAAGATATAAGCATTCAGAGCCACTAAGGCTGCAGTTCCATGTTCCAATATGAAGGTGTTTAGCACAACTGATTTCCATAAAAACTCTGCATGGAACAAGGGGACAGAGATGGCTCTGTCATTGGGCCAGGTGAACAACTGCCTCAAGCAGCAGGTTTTAGGGGTCCGTTCATTGGCAGCAAATTGCCAAGGGTTTAGCCTCGTGAGGAGGTGCAGATACAGGGGGAGGATAGGGCACGGGAAGCCAAAGCAAGGCTCAATGCATGTCATGTGTCTGAGGGAGAAAATGACTCTGAAAGTCAAAGGATGACAGGATGTTGCCGCAGACTAGACCTACGAACCAACACCGAAGAGGGAACTGACAGAAAGTCAAGTGAGGAATTGACTGATCTGATAAGCAGAGTGAAAATCAGCTCCCTGAATACAAGAACAGAAAAGGGAGGGATTCTGTAAGGGGCAGATGAACACCCCCGCCCCTCGCATACACACTCACACTGTTTCATTTTAGACACCTACTGAAAACCTTTATGTTTCAGCAAGCCTTTCCAGACACATGATTCAGTCACCTATATTTGTTCTTTAAAGTTTTATAGATGTTACCTTCGGTTTTAATTATGATGGCTTTATGCACGGCTATTTTCATTTCATTTATGGTTTTTAGCAGTGTTTTCTATTCATACTCCGCTTTGGGCAGCTTTTTGATGATGCTGTTTATATAAATTCTAGATTTAAAAAACCGCAATGTGAAGCAAGGTATGACTGTACAACCCAATAATACTCACTGGCTCACTTTATGGTACAATTTGGCAATCCCTTGATGTGTCCAATCTTTGCCAAGAGTGGGCAAAATATGACCTAAAGTATCTGACCTGGAAAAAGAGAGGATTGATTGATTTAATAGACTAGAAGAAATTATTATCTGTTACTTATTAACACTGTTTCAGCCTTGCCTTTGGCGTAAATTCTTCTGTGAACTTTTTCAAAGAACTCTTAAAAGAGAAAACCATTTTATCCCTCTTTGACTTTAGAGTAGCATTGGAATCAATACAAACACTTTATTAATTATTATTATTATCATCATCATTATTTCATTTCTGTTCCATGTTTACTCCAAGGAGCTCCATGTAGGATATATACATCTCCCCCTCCCCCATTTTATTGTCACAACAATCTTGTGAGACAGATTAGGCTCAGAAACAGTCGCTAGCCCAAGGTCATCTAGTGAGCTTCATGGATGAATGGGGATTTGCACCCTCATCTCCCAGGTCCAACTAATCCAACACACTAACCACTATACTGAAATGGCTCTCCTATGGATCAGCTTGCATCACCAGCATTATTACTGATTCTTGGCTACAGAAATCTGTGTGTCTTAAAATCAGATGAGATGGACATAAGATTAACTTGATAAGAAAACAAAAGCAGAACATTCTTAAATGAATGTTAAACAGTTAAAAACAAGCAAAGCAAAATGAGAGAATGGAGAAGCAATAAGCAACAAAGGAAACTGCTACCTAGGGCTCACTGCCATGTGCAGTCTATACAAGTCTCCATATCTCCCATGGTTCACAAACGCCAACCAGAAACACAAGAAAGCATAAAGGTTTATGCCTCTCTATCGGATTGGCATTATGACTTTTGAGTGTTGCTGTTGCGTCATGTGATGGAAGCAGATAGGAGATTGGTCCAGTCATCAGCTTGGCTTGGCATATCAGCTTGGACTGGGCCACCAAGAATGGGCAAGAGTCCTGGAATTGGAAGGGACCCTGAGAGTCATTGCTTAGTCCCACCCTAAGCAATGCAGGAATCTCAACTAAAGCATCCATGATAGATGGCCATCCAACCTCTGCTTATAAACCTCCAACCAAAGAGAGTCTGCTGCTCTTCAGGGGAGTTAGTTCCACTGTCGAGCAGCTCTTATTGCCAGAAAGTTCTTCCTCCTGTTTAGCTGAACTCTCCTTTCGGGCAACTTGAATTCAACAGTTTTAAAAAATGGCCCCAGTGCATAGAGAGGATTGCAAGTGTCTCCCATTATTTTCCACGCTGCTATTTCGAACTTTCTGATGAAGCAGGCAAAACAGTTTTCCCTGAAGGGGAACTCTTGGCATACTGTGTGGCTTGCAAAGCGCTCACCTCGTAATTGTGCCATCAATGTCAGAAATAATGACCTTGTCATCCCAGTTCCACAAGTAGATGGTGCCTTCACAGCGGCACGTCCCTTGGTACTGTGTTGTAACACTGAAAATCACATCGTTGGGGCCATTCTTAAGATTCAGGCTTTTCTGTCGAAAAATGCACAAACAAAACCAAAACCCGGATTTCAAGATTTGCGCGTCGACAAACCAGATGGCTCGGAATATTATTAAAGCACAGTTCTTAAAGGTCTGGCAGTAAATCGCTTTAGTCACACACATTTAAGTCCCTTCTCTTGCATTACTGAACAAGGAAGCAGAATTACAGTCCGGGTAATAAGGAATTCTGCTGTATAGCCAATGGCCTGGAATGTGCAAAGCAGGTAAAACAAGAAAATAAAAAACCAGGCTCAACAACAGCAAGCTGCTATGTAAACCACTTAGAGGTTTTCACAATTAAGCAGTATGAAAATTTTGTTTTTTAAAAAATAAAAATACCAATCTTCTTATTAATTTTAAACATCAGTCAATATACTGGTTGGGTTACACCTTCCTGGGCTTTTATGGTACCCCTTGTTCTCTTATATCAACCACTTCATTAAGGGAAACTTTCTTTAACAACACTCAAAAACAGATTCATTGTCCTTCACCCAGTGTCTTAATTTCTATAGGTGGGGTGAAAAGTTGATGTGAACGTAACTTACAAGCTGTTCTGAACTGAGTCGAAGGGTCTTTTTGTAACCCACTCCAGACAATAATGGAAGATGACCAGGGTTTGATGATGATGCAAAGGGTTGACTTGAAGCTCTAGGGTCTTCATCACTTGAAGAAGACTCATCTTTGATTCTGAAACATCATACACAGGGACATTATTTGTGTGTGTGTGTGTGTGTGTGTGTGTGTGTAAACATTTATTACTTTTTATTTTGTTTATTACAATTGTACACCTCCCTCCCTCCAAAGAGTTCAGGGCAACATTCAGGGTTATTATTCTCCTCCTCTCTGTTTTATCTTCACAACAACCCTGTGGGGTAGACTAGGCAGAGAGCGAGAGAGAAAGAGAGAGAGAGGGAGAGGCCTGAGGCCCCCCAGTGTTGAGCAGGGATTTAAAATCAGGTCTCTCCAGTCACCCTACCCCAGTGGCACGCCATCATATTCATAATATTGACTTGAGGAGGGTTCCTTAAATAAAAGAATTGTCACACATCCTGCCAATCATGCACACAAATAAACACACACACACAGTTGTACCTACACATTCAGAATAACAGTGTGATATGTTGGAAGCTAATGTCTCTCCCATGAAGAAAAACTCCAAAGAAAGAAAGAAAGAAAGAAAGAAAGAAAGAAAGAAAGAAAGAACGCACACTGGGGTCAGAAATTCTAGCCCTGACCCGTCTTCCTGGTGCAATTTTCCTTCACATTCACACCTGCAATCTAAGTGGTACAGTTAAAACAGAAGTAAGGTATCATGTTTATTATTATTATTCGGAATCTGCACATCAGCTCTTATTGGTCATTTCTCACACACACACACAAACATGGGAGAACTAGACCCACATCCCAACTCAGCTTCGAAATTCATGGGGCCTAACTTACCTCACAGGACTGTCTGAGCAAATGCATATAGGCCATATAAATGTAGTAAGTTGCTGCTATTAATGAGAAGGCAAATGAAGCAAAACTTCTAAAGCACTACATAAGTTGAAAAGCAGGATAGAAACAATTTGATACCTGTCTTGAATGTTCAACTCTTCTTTTCCACTCAGACCTGGCACAGGCTTCGCTTCCTGTAGGCGAAACGTTAAGAAGGTGAAGAACAGAGCCGGCTCTGAAAATTACACACACAGTTACGGTAGAACCACCCAGCTGCATGGAAGAGGGGAAACTGCAGCTCAGCACCTCCCTGACTTCCAAGCAGATAGGAGGAACATCAAGGGTGAACCAACAGCAAGGCCTACTCTTATCGCTGAGCCTGCTCTGTTCTATCCTGCTGATCTCAGTGAATTGCATGTTTGCAGTACTCAAAACACAGCATGGAGGGGTTGGGTCGTGGCATTGCTCCCTGACAGCAGCAGCATCACCACTGCTTACCAAGATGAGGCAGGAACAAGGTTGGAGGTGCAGAGGCACACCAGCAGGGCCAATCCAGCGCCACAAGAGTTTGGCTGTGCAGTCCCAACCTCACTCTGCCCTGCCCTGGTAAGTGCGCAAAACAACAACAAATCTCTGGTGACGTGAAACATATTCAATAAACACACAAGACGTAACCGGCTGTACATTTGAAAAAATAATATATACTATTCATTGTATTGAATTGTAGATTTCAACAGAAGTAGCTCATAAAGTTCAACGAAAAAGGTAGAAGACCTTTCCCAGTGGATCAGTTCATTCTCTAATCAGTTTATGCATAAGGTCCATATATGTGAAAGTGTCTAATTCCACCTGTGTGTTCATAGACTAAGACAGCTACTACTATGCTATAAGAGGCAGCTACTACTACTAAAGGGGACGCGGGTGGCACTGTGGGTAAAACCTCAGTGCCTAGGACTTGCCGATCGTATGGTCAGCGGTTTGAATCCCCGCGGCGGGGTGAGCTCCCGGCTTTCGGTCCCAGCTCCTGCCCACCTAGCAGTTCGAAAGCACCCTTAAGTGCAAGTAGATAAATAGGTACCGCTTTATAGCGGGAAGGTAAACGGCGTTTCCGTGTGCTGCGCTGGTGCCGGCTCGCCAGAGCAGCTTCGTCACGCTGGCCATGTGACCCGGAAGTGTCTCCGGACAGTGCTGGCCCCCGGCCTCTTAAGTGAGATGGGCGCACAACCCTAGAGTCGGACATGACTGGCCCGTACGGGCAGGGGTACCTTTACCTTTACTACTACTAAGGCAGCTACTACTGTGCTATAAGATCCACTGTCCTGTGATATCATATATGTTTGTACTACTGATGAAGCCCAGGACAGCGAAACAAGGCTAATATTCAGGAAATCTTTGTCTTAGACTCTGTGAAAGGATTCTGTGGAACTGTAACAACCTTTCGTGTGGATTGTTGGACTCTATGAACAGACAGGTGGAATAGACACTTTCACATATATGGACCTTATGCATAAATCGATTAGAGAATGAACTGATCCACTGGGTCTTCTACTTTTTTCGTTGAACTTCATGAACTACTTCTGTTGAAATCTACAATTCAATACAATGAAGTGTATATATTATTTTTTCAAACGTACAGCTGGTTACATCTTGTGTGTTTACTGCCCTGGTAAGTGGCAACAACAACACCGTTGGGAGGGCGGCAGTGCCTTCCAGCAACTGGCTGCTCCTGCTCCTAGAGGAAGCACCAGTTGTTATGGTTAATAGCTACTGGCAGACCACAGCTCTTAGATGCTTGATGGAGGATAGGTCCACCCATGGTCGTCAGATAAGGCGGCCAAATGTTCAAGTAGCAATCGTGTTCAATCTGTCATATAGGGTAGGTACGAAGAGGGGGTGCCCATCACCAGCATGGCTTGCCTGAGAGCTTCCTGACGGCATCAGGCTGAACACTCTCAGAGACATAATGCTCAGCTCCATGGGCCTTTCCCCCCAAACAGCAGGGCAATCCTTAGGTTCTTAGATAGTGGCTTGAGAACACTACTTGAGCACATATATATGCAGGGCTGTGCACATGCTGTGCTGATGCAGGAGGGAAAAATACCACGTGCAATATCGGGTGCAGAATTCAGCATCCTGAAAACCTCCACTTTTGTTTTCAAAACAAGTTTCTAGCCCTTATTGTTGCGAGAATGTAATTAAACATCTGCAGGCAACATCGGATGAAATGCCCTCAGCTATGTCTGAAGGTTTCAATGTTCAAGGTCTCAGTGCTCTGCATCGTTACTTAACCCCTCCTCATATGAGCAGGAGCAAAATAAATTAAGCAAAATGTCAAAAAGGGTAAGATAATTTTATCGAAAACGCCCCACAAATTCTTCATGAAGTTTGCAGGTTACAGAATTCAACTCTTCTTTCTGCTAAATTTGGGTTGCTTAGGAACAAAGTCAAAAATACAAAATTTTGGTTATCAGCCATTACACACAGCCCCATATATATGGTTTTCTAACCTGGGGGAAATTCGGTCCATCTAGTTTCCGAACTTACCTCTTTGATAGAGCTATTCCTCCCTCGCCATGAAAACCACCATCTTCCACCTTTTTTTGGCATCTTATCCCTCATTATAGAATCCACAGTGGCCTGTGATAAATGGATGGTAACATAAATAATGGAACAGAACAAAAAGTAATCTAACTCATGCAAACGAAAATATATATTTTATATAGAAAAAAACGACAAACCACACGCAATTTAAAACTCAAGCAAAGAGAGTAAAAGGAAACATACTATCTGTGGACCACAAATCTTGTCAAAGCAAAACCTAATGGTATCCAGAACTGTACGGAAGTAACTTAAACAAGAACACTTACAAAATTTAAAAAAAGAAGAAGAGAAAATGGGAACGAAACAAAACGAAACAAAACCATAATAAGCCATTAGTATAATGTTTAGGAGAGTGGGGAGAAAGAAGTCTCTACTTCACAGCTGTTTAGTAAAAATCATAAAGGGTTTCTACTGGTAAGAAACACGGATAGGCAAGATGGTTAGCTGTCCCCAGTAAATAATAATGAAACTAAGCAGGATGGTTGGTTTAGTGTCTCTTGAAAGCTATTCAGGAGAGTACAGGCTAAGAGGTATAATATAATAAAACATTCAGCACCAAAATAGCCACTAGTTGCTTCTTGATGAGGGTGAGGAAGTTTATTTCTTTAACATGTTGGACAGCAAAAAAATTCCTAATTTGTTTTATCCTACAAACAAATATGCAAGTTCAGTGCATATTCTCTCCATGTGGCCTTATGTCAGGATTGACAGCAATTAAAGCAAGCCCAACCTATTCAAATTCACTTGGGTAAATTCTGAAAAAAAGAATATCTGTGCTGATCCACACAGGAGCATTTGGTACCTGGTGATTGCAACCATAAACAATGATATGCATGCACAACTGGGCCATTACAGATAAAGCAAGCGGCGGTGGGGAGAACTTTCAGGTTCCCTTAAAGGTAAAGGGACCCCTGACCATTAGGTCCAGTCGTGGCCGACTCTGGGGTTGCCGCACTCATCTCGCTTTATTGGCCGAGGGAGCCGGCGTACAGCTTCCGGGTCATGTGGCCAGCATGACTAAGCCATTTCTGGCAAACCAGAACAGCGCACGGAAACGCCGTCCCCTTACATTGCTTCAAATGCTAATGCCTTCCAAGAGAGTATTTTCATATTCTGATGCCAAAGTTTACAACAACAAAAATGCCGCAAAGTTGGGTTATTTACATGCATGTGTGAACTGGACCTGTGTGAGCAATGGCGCAGGAGAGAATGTGGCAAAAAGAATGCTCCAAAATATGATTCAGACATGGTTCCAAATAATCCTAAATCAGCACTGGTGACAGCAGGTAGCTATATATAGTTCCAGCCAATGGTCTCTGATTTCTTTAAGACCTGTTTGGCTACAGCACTGTGGAACCCTGAACCCTTTGCTAGAATTGATAGATTTGAATTTTATTGATCTATCTGTGGATATCTCTAAAAGTGTGTCTCTGTCATCCCTCGAGAGGCAAGAGAGATGTGTGTCACTGAGTCCCATTAGTTCATCAAATGCTAAACAGATCAAGAGTTGTTTAGGCCTAGCTGCAGGTTAATATCAAACTGCAACAGCGCTGGTTCGGCTGTCAACAAGCAGAGAGGTCCATAGCCGAATATAAATGTATCCAGCATTGCACTTTCAAGTTGGAGTTACTCTTTAATAGCTATTTTACACGAGAGATGCTATACTCTAATCTTTCTGTCCTCCAGCAGAGGACATTGGGATCAAAGGAAGGCTTACAGCCCAACTCTCAAAGTTCAGCCTTAGCACACAGTTCTCAAGAGCCACTGAAATCAATACAACAAATGAGCATTTATGAAGCTTGCCTGCTTGCAAAAAGAAGTTCAATTGTTGAGATGAACTGTTCGTTCCTAAAGGTTTGCTGTTTGAATACAAGTCAGATTCATGAAGTCACAAGCGCATCCTCAGCCAAAGTCTAGAAAATGTTGGTTCGTAGCCCCAACAGTGACCAAGGCAATATAACCACTGATATGCATGAAGCTGAGGTCCGTTTTAGACCACATGAGCTGGCGGGAGTTGGCACACATAACTGAAATTACAACTCTCTTTGCAAGGGTTCTTAAATGTTGACCTGGCCAGTGTCTCAAGCAGAACATACACAGCTTACGACAGAAACTCTTCTCCCATCCCAGTCCCAGGAGTAGGAAGACTAGGAGAAAAAGAAAGAAGCAAGGCCATATTGCCCCAAAGTGTGTTGAGGCTTGGGAAGCACAGAAATGTAAAAGCATGATTCATGGATGGTAGCCAGCACTGCCCAAGTGCCTATGGGCTCCTCCCTCTGATTTTTTGCTATATCCTTGGGCATGGTGGCCTGTATTTCTTTCCCCCAAAAGGCTTCCAGGGTCAATCTCACCTTTGGCAAAGGTTTCTGGAATGCTTGCATCGCCAGCAGAAGAGGAGCTGCTGTAGTCCAGTTGTAGTACCTAGGTCAAAAACAATTTGATGCACCATTATTGAAACTATCTGCCAAATATCAACACATGTGAAATATACTCGGAGTCAAGAGTGGATTTCATGCTCTTTATTCAGCTCATAGTAGTGAGGAGGAATGGAAGTTCCCCCAGAATGTCTGCTTTATATACATTATTTACACAATGGGCCCCACGTGATTGGCTAATTCCGGGATTTACCTGTAGACCAATCAGGTTGCGGATTCACTTCCACCTGGAGCTGGATTGGGTGGCTCCTGTGGACCAATCAGACTGCTGCATTCTGGACCCTATTGTTCTAGGACCAATCAGACTGCTGCCTTCTGGATCCTATTCAACTCAGTACATAACAACATGCCTCAAGGCACAACTTCTCAGATGTCAAGGAGCTAAGTAACTATACAGCTTTTAGAATACGTCTGAAGGCAGCCCTTTACAGGGAAGTTTTTTTCATAATGTTGAATGTTTTATTGTGTTATTATATATGTTAGAAGCCACCCAGAGTGGCTGGGGAAACCCAGTCAGATAAGTAGGGTACAAACATCATCATCACCATCATGCCATCAGGTTAGTGCAGTGGCACTGAGTTACATCTGCACTGGGACTGATCTGTAAGAGCATGAGAGCAAGATGGGTAATGTACTGATTCACTGCTCTGGAGAAGCTCCTGTATGGCTACAGCTCAGTTGGTTAGAACATGACACTGATAACGCCAAGGTTGCAGGTTCAATCCCCCTATGGGACAGCTGCAATACAGGGGGCTGGATCAGGTGATCCTTGGGATCCCTTCCAAAACTCTACGATTTTATGAGCTATGGAAATAGCTTCAAATACTCTCATCTGTTGTTTTAATTCGTTATTTCTATAACTCTGCTGAGTTATACTTACTTGCTTCCAATCTTCACCACAAGGTTAGGGTCGTCGATAATAGCAGGATTGTCCACAAACTGCTGATAACTTACTTCTTGTTCTAAGAACTTTTCTGTCAGGAGAGGAGGGAGGGGGAGGAAAGAATTCATGAGACGCGGGTAGTGATGGGATAAATGGCAGAGCTGGCCCCGTCACTACTGCTTGAATAGCAGGCAATAAGGGGACCAAAGAAGGATAACTGCACCCCTTAAGACAGCTCCACCCAACCAGCAACATCCAGCGCTGAGGGACTTCTGGCGATTCCCTCACTGCGAGAAGCAAAGCTACAGGGAACCAGGCAGAGGGCCTTCTCGGTAGTGGCGCCCGCCCTGTGGAACGCCCTCCCATCAGATGTCAAAGAGATAAACAACTACCTGACATTTAGAAGACATCTGAAGGCAGCCCTGTTCAGGGAAGTTTTTAATGTGTGACATTTTAATGTATTTTTAATCTTTCTTGGAAGCCGCCCAGAGTGGCTGGGGAAACCCAGCCAGATGGGCGGGGTACAAATAATAAGTTGTTGTTGTTGTTGTTGTTGTTATATTCCTGGAGCCAAGTGTGGCTCCAAAGCAGAGGGTTGCAGCCTGCCAGATGACAGACAAGCACATTTCTGCAGCGTCAGTAGGAAGTAAAACCAAAACATTTATCAATCCACCAGGGCAAGGATAATTATTATTATTATTATTATTATTATTATGAATAACTCCCTTTGCTCCAGATGTTGTTGGACTCCTAACATCATCCCCGACCACCAGTTGTGCCGACTGGGACACAGGATAGGCAATTAAAAAGTGCAAATCCTCTTGGGAAGGAAGAGTGCATACAGATGTATATGGTCTGAGAAGTCACACTGCTGCAGAGGGCATTCACTGTGCAGGACATATGATGCACAATGCCCGGTCCAAGATTGGATTTCAAGGGAAACTGGGCTTGCTGGCCTGCAGCAGAAGGCAGCTATGCACCCAAGCTTAGCACTCATCAGACACGGTTAGGAAACACATTGCGCCTTTTGCAGCCATGCCCCTCAAAGTGTAGATACAAATGGCATTTTTAAAGGCAGTACAAATGCCGAATATGGGAAGTGATATAAAGCGGCGTGCATTTTGCTGATTCCCAAAGGGTTGAGTGCAGGGGGGAGGGGACAGTGTAAACAGTTTGACCTGAATTGGGAAGGGCCATACATAGCTCAGCGGTAGAGAATCTGCTTTGCATACAGAAACTCCCAAATTCAATCTTTGGCATATCCAGGCAAGGCTGGGAATGTTTCCTGGTCTGGAGGACCGCTGCCATTTAGGGTAACCAGTTTTTCCCAAACTTGGGTCTCCAGCCGCTTTTTTGGACTACAGTTCCCATCATCCATGACCACTGGTTCTGCTAGCTAGGGATGATGGGATTTGTAGTCCAAAAACAGCTGGAGACGCAAGTTTGGAAAACGCTGGTGTAGACAATGGCCTGACTCGGCGCAAGGCAAGTTCCTATGTTCCTAACTGCTGAGTAAATATTCATTGTGATGTGGTGGCTGCGTACGCCTTCAAAGAGCATTCTGGGCATTGTAGTTTGCTAAGGGTTTCTGGGAACAGTGTGAGGGTCAAACAACAATGCCCATAATTCTTTGAAGGGGGGGATCTGTGTTGATTTGAAGTTCAGTGGGTTCGCAGCCCAAAGTTCCATCATGCCTTGCTGTACAACACCCACAAGAGGTCACTGTTTAGTTTTCCAGAAGAGGAGCCGAGTAAGCGCAGAAGCTCTCTACATACCTTTAGATATTTCTTTGTTCTCACTAAGTCCCCCGCAAAGTGAGATAGCAATGGACGGCAGGTCCCTTATTCCATCTGAGGTGCTCTCGATGCCACTATCGATACCTGAGCTTCCGACTGTCTGAGGGGACTGGTTCGCTGAGCGGGGTGCATTTTCACTCGCAACCTTCGACTGGGCGGCAGGTTCGTCACTGAGAAGAGAAGACTGGCTTAGCTGTCTCCAACACCCATACAAGCTCTTACATGCCCAATCTTGAATTGTACTCCCTTGGTGCCGGCACTGCATCAGCCTGTGCACTAAGTTATCTCTCACAGCCGGGATGGGACACCTGTGGCCTGAAGACATTTGCTGGTCTGCAGCTTCCCTAAGCCACAGGCAGCATGGCCTAATGGTCAGGGATAATGGGAGCTGGAGCCCAACAGGCTCCCCAAACTTGCCTGATGGTTAACGCTTCCGAGCACAAGAACTTCATAAAAATGTACTTGACTGACAGAATTGTGGTTGGGGTTTTTTACATTGCTTCCAGGCTTGTTCTCACTTATCAGGACTCAGACACGAGCTGTCTCCTGCACCCCTGAGACTCTTACTGTGGACCATCAGCTATCAGCACTCTTTAAAAAAAAACAACCAAACTACATTTCTAGCCTTGATGGCTGGAGAGGTTAATTTGAAGGTGTGATAAGTATGTTTATTTATGCACAGACAGCTGTCTTCATGATTACTACTTCTATTTATGTTTCAGTTACTTCTGTTCGCTGTTTTTAAAAGGTAAAGGTACCCCTGCCCATACGGGCCAGTCTTGACTAACTCTAGGGTTGTGCGCCCATCTCACTCTATAGGCCGGGGGCCAGCGCTGTCCGCAGACACTTCCGGGTCACGTGGCCAGCGTGACAAGCTGCATCTGGCGAGCCAGCGCAGCACACGGAACGCCGTTTACCTTCCCGCTAGTAAGCGGTCCCTATTTATCTACTTGCACCCGGGGGTGCTTTCGAACTGCTAGGTTGGCAGGACCGAGCAACGGGAGCGCACCCCGCCGCGGGGATTCGAACCGCCGACCTTTCGATTAGCAAGTCCTAGGCGCTGAGGCTTTAACCCACAGCACCACTATTAACAATTAAAAAGAGAAACATGGGGCAGCTGGATATATATATATGTATCTACTCAGAAGTAAGTTCCATTGAGAAAAACGGAGCTTTCTCTCCCAGATAAGAGGGTTTAGCGTACCAAACTCTGTGAAAGCTCGGCTCAAGCGCGGAATTTTGCATGCGGATATCCTGAAAACCTCAGCTTTCATTTTAAGTGTGTTGGCGGCGGAAGGAACCGGTTAGGCTTAAAGGTGTGTGGATAATTGCTTGGTGAAATCTCAAAAGGCTGAGGGTTTAGAAGGATTTGCAGTGGTCAGGGTAGGGACTCAGTGGCATGTGTAAATTCTTTCCACCCCTCAAGACTACCAAAATTCAAAACAAAGCAAACACAAAAGTTGCTTAAATTGCACGATTTATCTTTTTGCCTGTACAATGTTCATGGGAATAAAGGTGCATCATCACATTCCATCATTTTAAGGAACACCAAGGCCTCATTCTTTTTAAAATGCATGGTAGAATCCTACTCCACCTTTTGCCACCACCACCCTTTGACCGTCCCCAAAGTTCTCACTCCTTCCTCATGAAGGTAAGAAGGCATGTTCAGGTCTGTCCTAATTGTGTCATCTGAACCCTAAACTGTGGGGAATCTTAGGTACAGTTAGTTTAAAACAAACCAGCTTCATAAACTATGCCTTGAAGGTGGCTTGTTTCAACAAACTATAGTTAACCACATTTTGTCTAGCTTGGGCCATCATCATAGGCTGTGCTCAATCTAATATGAAAGCAAAAGCTTCTGAATTCCTCCACATCAGAGAAGGAGGGGAGAGCATGTGAGCCCAAGGCAGAGTTTAGTATGCTCTTTCTCACCTAGTGCCCTCTATACATTTAGTACTACAATTTCCACCTGCTTCAGCAAGAATGGCCAATAATCAGGGACAATGGAAGTCACAGTCCAATACTCCCGGTGGGCACAAATTATCCGGCAGAATCTGATTTCCTAAACAACCTCTGAAGAATACTGTGGGGAAAGTGAATGAATCATTCACCATTACTGGAGAATATAAGCTCCACTAACATTGCTGCAACCATTAGGAAACTGCTTCTTGATCCATGCACACCATTGTGGTCTGTTGAATCAGACGGATGCATTATAAGTGCTAATTAATACCATGCGTACTTTTTAGGAAAATAGAGTGCAGCAACCTCTGGCTCCATATCTGTGATGTCATCTAAATAAACACCGTCAGCACCAAGATGTCGGCTACGCTTATCTGTGAAAGGCAAAAAAAAACCCACGGTATTAATAGAAAGCACTCGATTTGAACACTCATTTCTCTCCTCCAGAGGAAGCCACAGATTCTGCTTGCCTGGTGTGTGTGTGTGTGTGTGTGTGTTGTTTGTTTGAGGATGTACAGTCGGTCCACTGGCAAAATATCTAATTCTCATGGTAGCAACTAACGACCCTCATCTCCATCAAAGCTGCCTTGGCCATAGGGCTTTGTCTTGGTTTAGGAAGGAGCATGTGAGTTACCCCTTCCTGATAGAACATAATATAGAATGAGAGGGCAATGCTGCAGGGGAAGACAACAAAAGCAGGTGCAAAATTTGTAATTTCAAACAAAGAGCACTAATACCCCAGCCTTTGCTTTGCATCCGCACCCATTTGGTCATTTGCACAGTCACAGCTTGGCTTGGATTGACATGCAAACTGGTTCAGAATGTTCTTAGAATTAACGTGAGGGCTGTTGTTCTCTGGTCCCATGTGAGGCCATCCCATAAGCACCTAAGTTTGGCCACTGGAGAACAGGATGCCAGACTATATGTGCTCTTTATTATGTTCTTGAAGCTGGGGGGGATGCAGCTATGGAGTGGGGAAGTGTGCCCCATTGACATAAAAGCTAAATAGCTTCCAGTATTGGGGAGGGGGCCACCCAGAACATTAGAGAGCAAGCAATCATAATTATTTCTGCTTGAAGATAGAGGAGAACCCTAGAGAGAATAGGAAACCTCCCATTGATTTCCAAGGAGGCTGGGATTCTAGCTATCCCGCTTGCGAGCAGCGCAAAAAAACCCCAACCCAAATGCTTAAAAAGAGGAAACTTGTCTGTATCCTGTTGCATGCCTTGTGAGAACGAGAGATCTTTCGCTTTCAGTCAGCTGTAAACAAATGAACTTACGCAAGACACACGACTACGTAAGAGCCTGAGAAAGCTGTCTGGAAGGTGAAATGCTTCAAGTTCCCACAACAAGCTAAACAAGGGATCTCCAAGCATTTCTTCCGCCAAGATTTCTTCCGCTGAGTCTCTTCACTTCCCCCATTTGAGGTACAGAGCCTGACTTTCCACCAACGGACTCCTCCTCTAGCACCTGATACTTAAGTGATGGAAACTTACTGGAACATTCCTGCAACCATAGCTTGCCCTTCTTCCATTTTTGGAACTTCCGCTGAATTTCGCCCAAAGTGAAATTCAGAGGTCAGTTTTGGGAAGCAAGGTAGAAAGGGGCTGGTGACCCCAGGACCACCTTCAAACTGGCCTCCAACTCTGCTTGTCGGGGAGCAAGCCCTGGTAAATTTAACAAGGCTTGCTTCTGACTGACTGCACGTAGTTAACAACTACTCTGGAACCTGTGACAAAACTTTGAAAAAATCTCCAAAGAAGCTCAAGGGAATATGACAGTTTCTCGGGACATTTTGTGCATCTTTCGCTGCAACAGCCAATTCAGCCAGTGTGTTTCGGGGCGCTGGGAGGAATTCAGAAAGAAGTTTTCCTCCCTTCCACCCCCTTCTCCTTGCTCCCTATCCCCTCTAGGCTTGCAAATTTGGATCCATCTAAGGAAGACATTTCCCTTTCTTCTTGGTCTCTAAGTCAAACACCTCTTTGCAAATTAAGTTCCACTGCTGCTTATACAAAAGACAAACTTCTTTCTTCCTTTCATCCCCACTATCTCATTTTAAAAAAAACAACAACCAGGCACAATTAGTTTTTCTCTTAAGAAATTGCTTAAACTTTTCCAGGGCCTGGGTTCAAAACCAGAAGCAATCGTACAAGCAGCTTTTACCTTTTTTCCTGGAGGGAGAATCGGTTTTGCCGCTTGTTGGCTGTGCCAAACAAGCCATAGCCTGCTTGACGTCTTCATTTGCAGGGAGTGGAGGTGCAGCTGCCCCTAACATGTCTACGTTTGGCTCATTTATCTCAGGTATTCCTTCTTGAAGCTCAGGTTCTTCCAGAGTCAGCACAACATCCGCCTGTTCAACGGCAGGTAAGGGAGTACTACTCTGAAGATCCTCCAGAACGTCGTTTTGAATGACTCGAAAGTGAGTGCTTTCAGAAGGATTCACATTCACCACAGAGCTGGATTCTTTTAGCCTGAGTGGAATAGCAGACTGGAAAGAGGATACACACCTGTTTAACAACGCTTCCTTGATTAAGAAGAAACAAGATGCTGCGAAATGCAAGCACTGCATTCACACCAAAACCTAAGTAATTGTCCTGCCATGTAATAATAAATAGCAGCAGCAACCCTGGGTTTGCAGCCGAGCACATGCTCAAAAAAAGGAGAAGCAGCCAATCTTTACTTTCTGATCAGGGTACCAGTCTGAAAGTTGTGTCTATGGAAACCACTTTCCCAGGGCACAGTCACAAAGTCACAGAACTGTAGAGTTAGAAAGGACCGTGAGGGTCATCTAGGCCAACCCTCTGCAATGCAGGAGTCTTTTTTTTTGCCCTGTGTGAGGTTCGAACCCATGAACCCTGAGATGAAGGATCTCATGCTCTACGGACTGAGCTATCCCATACAGTCGGAGGGCACATGATGCAGCCATCTTGCTGAAGCTAAGATGGCATGAGCCTGGGCAGTGCCTGGATGGAAGACCACCTGGGAGTTCCACACACACACACACACACACACACACACATCCCATAGAACACCTTGGTTGGTTGGCTGTCCCTTGAGTTGGAGAGACTTTTCTCACAACAAGAAACCAAGCCCATGGAATGAGCTGTTCAGCAGGCACCTTCTGTTTTAACATTTAAACGCCTGTTTAAATGTTAAAAGAAACCTATGCCAAGAAGCACCTGCTGGCCATTAAGAGATTATCCTTCTGTAAAAGTTAGGTGATCTCCAATTTTAAATTTCGATATGGTTTTTAATGTGTGGTTTTATATATTATTGCTGTGAACCACTCTGATGTCTGGTTTTTTTTAATGAACAGCGGTACATTTTTTATTTTTGCAAATGAATAAAATATAAATCGGATGCAATGACAAACTAAAGTTAGTTTAAAACTTTTTGAAGCCACACCAGAGGAGAACAGGGAATCATCCTATCTCAACGATTGTGCACATAGCAATAAGTTTTGTTTTGGTGTTATGACTTCACCCTCCTTTAAAATATATTTGTTAGTTAGTTCTCTGTTACCTTAAGACAGTCAGCTCTAAAAACAGAAGAAGATTGAAGCTATTTTATCATAGGCATTTGAAAATATTCCGGAGGATGTTTCCCCTCATACCTTTGTGGCTTGAGGTAGTTCGCCCCAGTCCCAATGCATTTGTGGATTATTCTTCTGGACGCCCCTTTCCAAAGATTTATTGACTAACTCGGAATCACTTTTAGGCGTTGGGGGCCGTGAACCTGAAGGACTGCAGAAAGAAGTGGGGAGGAAATGGGAGAAGACATGCATTAAACAACAATAAACGTAAGCACAACCTCAGGGCAATTTGAGATCCTTTATTGTTAGTGGCAATCTGAACTGAAACATGCTTTCACACCAAATGTAGTATGGGCCCAGTTCAATAGGCAGCCAAAAGCACGAGGTTAGATAAGAAAACTTTTAAAACTCAAAACCCTAGCAATATAAAAGTTGCTTGCAAAGTATTTAGTGGGTCTATGAATGCAATATAAATATTCAAGCAACCCTAAGCGCATTTATTGCAGGGGGTAGGGGTTGAATCCCACTAGCTTCCAATGGGATGTATACTCCCAAGAAAGTTTATTTAGGGTTTAAAGCTTAGTAACATAAATCAGTAGTTTGCCAGCACACAAATACACTCCCATAGCTTTCTTTTGCAGAGAAAAGTCAATAAATGCTAATCTATGTTAGTATTCTGAAACCCCGGGAAAGCCACATTTGGTGAACAGGTAATGTGCAAATGTGGCTGGCCATACACAAGGGTTCCGATACCATGAAAAAAAAGGCAACAGGAGATGTTTGTGGTGGTGATGATGATGATGATGATGATGATAATGGCTGACAACCCACCCTTGACCCTAAGGTCCCCAGGGTGGGATACACAACATTAAAACACAATATTAAAAAGAGTTTAGAGCAACTTATAATGCCAAAAACAAGGTGATTCCTAGAATTCTAGACCTCAGGTGTCCAAAGTAAAAGGGTACCCAAGGATATCCTGGGACAGAATGAGTTAGACCCCTATAGCATGAATTCACTCAGTGCATTCTCTTCCATAGGGAGACACAGAATAGCCCTGCGACATGGAAATGCCTGAATCAGCCCTAAATGGACAGGTCACATGAACCACTAATCTGATTGTGGACAAAACGGTTGCCTTGGAAAACAAAGGATGGAATAAAAATCCATTTATGCAAGTAACGTTTTAATGCGTAGCGGCAGCACTGACGAACTGATGGGAAGGAAGGAAGGGGGAAGGAACTGGTGCATTGATTCAGTTCTCCCTCAAGCACACATACACACACACACACACCAGGTATGCAGTGTCAAATCTGTGTAGGCTGTTACACAGGCAGCCTTTGACCCATGGCCCCACCTCCCTGCACAAACATTTTTGTGCAAACATGTCCTGATCCAGAAAAATAATGTGCTGATCCCAGAGGATCAGGATGTAAATATTTGAAACTTGAATCTATGGATGTGCTTACACAAAACAAGAGGAACGATCTGTTTTCTTACTTAATGGGGGGGGCGGGGATACAATAGCTCAGCTAGTGAAGAACTTTAGGATACAATAAACTAGTTTGTCCAACCAACTACATATATAAAAATGATACATGAGGCTGAAAAAATCCCAAGTTCTTGGTCCCCCTGGTACCCAAAAGCATTCTGATGTTGCCCAATTCTGACTTAATGCACCCACCTAATATCGAGCAAACTAAACTTGAGTTCACACCACCAACACACTAAATGTAAGACGTGCGTCATAAGTCATCAAGAAGACATGAATAATTCAGTTCTGGAACTATTAAGGGAAGTTCTACATAACTGCCTTTTTAAGCTAGGAGTCTGCAACCCTTTTTGGTCTTGTGGACACATTTGCAATCTGGAGCAACCGGTGGGCACCACACACAGAGATACAAATGCCACAACCTATTCTGTTCATTGCAGCAGAATGCTCCTTCCAGCCTAATTTCGGGAAATAGTGGGGGGGAGAGGTTCCCGTGGGCATCTGGAAAGCCTACTGCAGGTGGGTCTGAACTACGTTGCCAATCCCTTTCTAAAGCCAAAGCCCAGATGAACTGTTATCGTGTTAAAAGAGAAATGGCACCTCTGCATTACTAGAACAGGAACTATTTTTTAAAAAATAATTAATAGCCTTAAGCGTTTAACTGAGCATTTAACTCTCTGTACTAATACACTTCTACATTATGGACAGCGTGAAAAAGAAAATGCATTATGGCAGGTCAAAACGCATTAGATCATAATTTGTGCTGTACTGTATTAGCAATCCCCTAGAAGAACATCATACCTTTCTTAAAAGTTGTCCTACAATGAATAACGCAGCCCCGTTGCCTCAAAGAGCTTACAATTTGAGTTTGACAGAAAGCAGGTTCCCCAGGTGGAAAAAAATCAAACACATTTAGACTGTGTGGAGAAGGACAGCACCAGGACTTCCACTAGTTCTGTGTGATCTTAGATTACGTTTTCATTGGAACTGCAGAAATCTGGAAGCATCGGGGTGTGGAGGGTTTATGAGCCAGCAAACTGGATGCTGGCAGTCTGTTCTTCTCTAATGTATTTTGGCATCCAGCTGAGCAGATCCAAAATAAGCCTTAAAGGCTGGAACTGTTCCTCAAACTTAGCTCCTTGACACATCTTGACAATGCACCTCCCGGCTCATCACACCCATTCCAGCTTCAGGATTCAATTCACAATGACTCTGGTATTCCCAAGTAAATGTGTGTGAAATGCACAGGAGTAGTAGTTCAGGCCTTGGTGACTTCAAGACTAGGTTACTGCAATGCACTCCATGCGGAGCTTCCCTTGATCTTGATATGGAAACTACAGATAGTGCTGAATGCTGCTTCATGGATGCTGACAGGAGTGAAACCCTGCACTGGTTATGCATTTACTACTGCGTCAAGTTCAAGGTATCACTATGAATATAAAGCTCCTAATAGCTTGGAACCTGTTTATTTGAGGGATCGATTTACCCCAAATACACCCACTCAACTTCAGACAGGAACTTTCACTACGCTCTTCTTGGTTCCTGCTAAGTTCAGGCAAGGCTATCCAGGAATGTAGCAGCCATTGTGTGTTTTAATCTCTTTTTAGCTTATTATAGATTTTATTATTTTTTAAAAAAATATTTCACTGACAATTTTAATGTCTCTGTTTTGCTTGTAGAGGTTGCAATTACAAGCAAGCAACATGTATGTACATATTGTTAAATAAAAACATCTTTAGACGATGGTAGATGATAGACAGATGATAGATAGATAGATGATAGAGATAGATAGGGAAAATTTATATCCAGAATGTATACACTGCCAACAGGCACTGCTTAAATGTCACCTTCTCTAAAAGGGTGGCTGTATTTTCTGCAGACTTTCTGGCAAATTTAAAGGATCTCAGGCTACGCCTGGCAATTTTGCAACATCACATAAACAGGAAATACAGTGTTATCTTCTAAACAAGAGACAGTGAAAAAGGAAAAACAAGCAAAACAGACTGCCCAGACAGGACATTATGAACCTATAAATGCTAAAGGATCCACCAAATCAAAGGGGAAGCCCAAGAATTAATGGAACTTCATTCAGATTTCCCTCAGTTCAAAAAGCATATCGGTCAGCAGCCAGCAATATGGGAGGACAACCTTCAAGAGGGAATGAAAGGTGGAGGGGCAAGCCTTGCTCTCCCCCCCCCACTGCCCTCCCCACCAAAGTAGACTGCCAGCAACGAAGTGGAGAGAAGCATTTTCTGCTGCTTCATTTGTCCATATCCACAAAAATCTTATTACAGAAGTTCATCAGGAACGACAAACATGGATGCCAGCTGAAAACGCTGTGCCGTGAACAATAATAATAATAATTTATTATTTATACCCCGCCCATCTGGCTGGGTTTCCCCAGCCACTCTGGGCGGCTTCCAACAAAACACTAAAATACAATAACCTATTAAACGTTAAAAGCTTCCCTAAACAGGGCTGCCTTCAGATGTCTTCTAAAAGTTATTTGTCTCTTTGACAAATGGTAGGAGGGCATGGCAAGCTTTGTTTACTGAATGCGAGTCAAATAAACATGCAAAATTAGATCGACTCACTAGGGGATCAGAACATTTGTCAATGCAAATCACCCTGTGCAACTCACCCTAATTCAAAACCTTCCCAAAAACCCACGTCAGCTGGTTGCCAGCAAGTCCTGTTGCCTGTTGTAACCACACCCTCTGCATACATCTCTTGCTTCAAAAGATTACTGAGGAAACAGGGCTGGCATTGCTCAAGAGCCTCTAGTTCGGGGGAGGGGGCTGGGGAAGCTGTGTGCCCCCGGATGTTGTTGAAATTCAGCTCCCATCAGTCCCAGACACCAAGGATGATGGGAGGTCTAATCCTCAATATCTGGAGGGCCGCACGTTCCCTCACTCCTGTCCTAGTTGCTGATTCCTAGCATATATAGAAACATGGGTCCTGCACCCAGTCATACGTCCTGTTCTTCTCCTTTACTTAGAAAGTACTAGAAGATGCTAAATGCTGCTGATTTTCCCTCAGTACATGAAAGCATGGTAAAAATATATATGCAGGCGCTTCCTCCGCTAGCACTGTGAAAGGAAGACTGACCAGCGGGTTGCCATCATCACTGTGTCTTCCACCAACATAATTCTCCCCTTGTTTGTTTCTTTTAAACTATAACAACATTTTGTATCGCAGTGCATCCTTAGGGGATTTCGCTTCAGTCTTCCCCAGCGCAAACACGAACCGCTTTGAAACACAACTTGCTTTGAAAAGAAAGCACAGTTGTTCTATAACTCAAGAGCCTGCTCTCTCTTTTTTCAGCAAACGATATATTTATTCACCGCAATTTGTCTGTGGGAACAAATATATATTTCAACATATTAACTTTCGACAGGAAGTACGAACGTGGATTTTTTAAACAAACAAGCAAACCATCGGGCTATTTTAAAATGCCCAAACTCCCTGCTGTTTAAGAGAGATTTGAAATTAGGTGTCCCTAAAAACGTCTTTAATAGATTTGAAATTAGGTGTCCCTAAAAATGTAGGGATGCAGGTGGCGCTGTGGGTTAAACCACAGAGCCTAGGACTTGCCGATCAGAAGGTCAGCGGTTTGAATCCCCGCGACGGGGTGAGCTCCCGTTGTTCGGTCCCTGCTCCTGCCAACCTAGCAGCTCGAAAGAACGTCAAAGTGCAAGTAGATAAATAGGCGGGAAGGTAAACGGCGTTTCCGTGCGCTGCTCTGGTTTGCCAGAAGCGGCTTAGTCATGCTGGCCACATGACCCGGAAGCTGTACGCCGGCTCCCTTGGCCAATAAAGCGAGATGAGCGCCACAACCCCAGAGTCAGTCACGACTGGACCTAATGGTCAAGGGTCCCTTTACCTATAAACATCTATCTCATATTCTGGTTCTTGCAACTTTCTTGCCCTGATCGAGAGGACAACATGCGCTTAGTCGGCAATGGATGGTTCTGTGCTCATATCACCTGCATGTGTGGAGCTTTCCCCTCTCACTGAAGTAATGAGGAAGCTCTTGTGGTCAAGGGAGCTCCAAAGGTGCATCAGAGCCCCTGTGCCTACAAAAGAGCATTGGCAATGTACACCTGTGTTGTATCATGAGGAAACTACCTGCCTTCAAGCTGGGTTGACCAAAGGGGACCTAGTGTTGGATAAGACAGTAGCCTAAGCGCTTGGCAGTAAAGGACCCTGAGGAAATGCAGGCAGCTCAACAAAAATAAAGGAAAAGGAAGTGGAAGAGGACGAGAAATGTACAGGAGCTGGAGAAATAACTAAGGACTGAACTGCAGATGATAACCAGCCCAATTTTTGGCCAGAGGTCTGCAGTTTCTGCGTCATTAATACAGTGGCAACATAAAGTGAAACGAAAACCCTAATTGCTAACCCCAGTTTCCTGCCAAGCAACTGTGTTAGTAATAAGGAGTAGTTTGGTAAGTCTGAGGAAGGCTGCAAAACTGTTAAAAAGGGTTAAAAGGGTTAATCAGCATTCCAACAAACCAAAGGAGAACTTTGCGGAGAGTTGCTGTTCTACCTGTCTGTAGCAGGATAGTGAGAAGACTGCTGAGGGCAAGAACTAGATAAGCCTCCATCTGCTGGAACAGTAAGATGAGAGGACTTCCCTGGGCAAGTTCTGGGCTTACTGGACAGTGTGAGGTATAGTAAAAGGAAGGGAAAAAACAGGCATCGTTATTCCACAATACGCTGCAATCAACACATGCTGCTGGGACACACAGTGAGATCCCCGCCCGCTTGAAAACAAGGAACTCAGCTTAAAGAGAACTGAGTTTCTAAGCGACAAGATCCGGAATCACTATAAGCAAATGTACAGTAAGTCAGTGTACCGTTCAGAGAGACACCAGACTACAGCACACAAAAGGTTGCAATCATTTGCAAATATGACAGCCACCATTATAATAACATATGCAAAACAGTGATCCACCCTGGCCTCTTCAGGTGCAACAAGTGCAAATTTGAGGGAGAAGAGTACAAACTGATCTCATCAGAGGAAACAGGCAGAAATGTTATCTAAAATATGTGTGTTGCACAGACATACTCCACTGCCGTTTAACCTTCCTCTAGCAACTGGATTAAGCATGAGATCACTAAAACGTGTTTTTAGTTATAAGAACATTATTTTGAAATGGACAAAGAAAGTATAATACCTTTCCATGTTTTTTTTTAAAAAAACAACCCTACATCTGTATGATTTTGCCCCCAAATCAGAGTGGTCCGCAAGAAACACGACCTAACGATCCCCGTAAAAGGATCCTATATTATGACTAAGGACCCTTCCACATATAATGCGATCAAAAATCAGAAGTATCACATGTACCCGGTGCTTATGGAAGGCAGACCTCTGTAATCATGTGAGGTTCTTTACTCTTCCATTACCAGCAACAGAGATGTTCCACTTGCATTCATGTAGCTGCCTCATTGAATCGTAAAACCAGTATGTAGGAGTTAAAATAATTTTGTTCCCATAAACATGATCCTATCAGGACTGCTACAGCCTACCGAAGGGGTTTTCATCCATGTGCCACAGAATGTTCAGTCGCAACTAATAATGGATAATTAAGATCAACAAGTTTTCCGAAGATTCAGCCTCACACTAAACATCACATACCCTGAAACTCTACTCCAAATCTACTCCTCTTCCTGTGCTTTGAAATGAAGAAGTGGTTTACACACACTCACATGTAACAGGTAGCTGAGCACTCAATGAGTTGGCTTGCACATAGCACCAAGCTGAACTCTGGCTGAAGGCAGTTCAAGACGACATACCAAGCCAAACCATGGATGAAGTTAGGGCAGCAGGAGGACCAGGAAAGGAGCACAATGTGCTCTCCAGGAACCCTCACATTCATGCTAAGCCATGGTTTGGCTTAGTGTTACGGGCACAAACCAGCTCAACGTCTGGATGAAACCTGGAATGCTTGATTATCCTAATTATGGATGTGCATATGCGGAGCCCAGAAATATACAATCATTTCATGAATGTTACAAGTGTGGGAGGAGCTCAACTCCCTTCAACTGCTGCACAGTGCCTGAACTTGCTGGACGAAGGCACTTAGCACAGAAGACTACCTGAGGTACTCCAGTTAACATATACCGTACCTTGGTGAAGGGGACCATTCTCCATCCGAATGGTGGTGAGGGAGCACACTGATTGAAGTTGTATTTATCTCAAGCACTTCATCTCTACAAAGATCAGAGGCAGATGTTCTGAGTATAAACGAACAAAGAGAGGAAAAGAGGTTTAGTTTTGTTTTTGTGTGTGTGTTTTTTTTAAAAAAAACCAACAACCTCTCGTTCAGAGCTAGAATAGCATTGCAACACTGGCAAGGAGAAAACTACTTCCCTTCTCTAAGAACTGTTATGCTCAAACGTCATCTCAAAATGACTGGAAATCCAGATGCTTCTGATAAGAAGCGCAAGTTGGAAAAAAAACAAAAAACACAACTCTAGCGGTCAGAAATTAGCGGTTCCTTAAATTTCCTTAACCCCCTGGGCTAGGAACTCATGATGAAAACTTTTTCTACTTCCTAAAGTGAATTCAGTTCTCTTTTAAATCCGCTGACTCTTTGGAGCAAGTATGCATATAGGAACTTTGTGCAATATGAGAAAACTTTGTCCAGAATAAAATCCATATGTATCCAATCATTCTCATGCTGTAGGAAATCCACATGATGTCTTTTCGTAGGTATTTGCCTAAAGAACATTAATGCCTCTGAATAAATCGCTTCTCCGAGTTTAAGCAGGATCAATACCTTGTATTGTCTAAAAGCTCATTTTCTTCGTCGGAACTGATTTCTATAGGGAACATGTTTTCATCTTCAGTGGTATCGTCATTTTCATCTCTTTTTGAAGTGTCTATTTTGTGGGCAGATCTCCTTCTACGTTTCCTCCTTTTCTTCACAGAACAACTAGAAGTGGGCTCAACAGCGGATGAAGAAACAGAGTTTGGTAGCTGTGAACTGCTTCCAGTGTCCATGTTTCTTATCCTGTCCACAGAGTTTCTCTTCAGCTGTAACTCCATGAGGGCTGTTCCCTCCGTAAGAATGGGAGATGTAGCCAAGTGGTACGGAATTGCTTCCTACAAAAAAGAGGGAGGAGACAAAACAGCGTCTTATTCCCCTTGATATTCCTTATTTCATTTCCATTGACATTTGTGAAGATTAATCTATCCCATCATCACACACACACATATGCCCCAAAATGTACCTCAAGCTTCACATAAGTTAAGCTTTTGTAAATACCTTGCAGCTCTTTCAAATTTTACAAAGCATAAGGCTTCATTTAGGCTATTTGGGTGGATCTACATGTAGGGGGTGGGAAACGCTATAAAAAAGTCAGAAATTAAATTGTTGTAACAAAAGGGGGGAAACCTATGTAAAAACACTATTGAAAAGTTTTGTGCTCTCTGGCGCCAACTGGTGCTGCATTTTTATAACACATTCAAATCATTGGGTTTTTTTGTTCGTTTTTTTCTAATGTAGCTGAATCCTTTCTCACAATGCTTTTATGGAAGTGCTTCCCTTTGGACTAAATAAGTATATATAAGATAGCAGCTTCAATCATGAAATCAATGCAAGATACGTGCTATGGAACTGTCAAGAGCTGTCCCACGTGCCAGAATGGGCTCCCCTTCCTGGAACTGGTTCCTTCCTCTGTGCAGAGGGACTAAGCTATATCCTCTTGCACTGACTAGTTCTGCAGCAGGAACATGGAAGCCCTGCTTGATTTTTTATTTTTTTTCCTTTTGGGGAAAGCATGCTCAGAGGCACAGATCAGGAAAGTAATGGAAATCCAATCACCTTGGCTTTAGGCAAATCAGCCAAGCCAATGAATGCCTTGCTACCAAAAACAGCCAGTTCACACAATCAGGTAACCATCAATTATACAGCCAGCAGTCTCACAATATGCAAGTTTTCCTCTGCCAATGAATACTGCCAGCAAGTGAGGAAGAGGCAATCAGATGGGGAAACGTACCATTTAATGACAGCTACATGCAAACAGCAACAAATGGAATCACTGCAGAAATAATGGGGTCATGTGAACTGGCCTTTAGGTTTTTGCCATCCACCCTCTTCCTCCATCTGTCACTGTGTGTAAATCAAGTCTTGAATGGTGCAAGAAATGGAGAACTGTAAATGAAATCAGATCTTGCAGCCTTCTCCCTATAATGGATCTCTTAAAGGCATAGCAGTCTTGGGGTCTGACGATCCACTACAGATGTTGCGCTGTAACCATAATTTATCAGAAACGAAAGATGTTTGGGAAGCGGAGTTTCGTCTTACCTGGTCATCACCAGTTTCCTCTACAAAAAACGCTTCTCCGTTGTCCCCTAATTTCATATGCAAATCCACAGATTCTCCATTGATTTCTATGTCAACCTGGGGAGGGCAAAAGACTTTTGAACAAACGTATAATTTCACTGAAGAGTTAGCGTGTGAATGAACATTCTCTTATATCTGTGAAAAGGGCTAATTCACATCATCCTAGTTAACATTTATGTAAGGTTTTTCAAGTGATGAAAGTACTTCACATTATCTCGCAACCCTTTACAGCAGCCCTGTAAGGGACATCAGCACTATTATCCCCATATTTCATGGTTTTTTGGGGGGCAGGTGCTGAGAGGGAGAAAATAGAGGTTTGTCAAAGGACATCTATCTAGCAAGTTCATAGCTAGGGTACAATTTGAAGCAGGGAACTTCTCAGGTGATCTTCATATGCAACACCTCACAGTGGCGTGTGCCTGATCTAACGAAAGTTAAGCATCAACCAGCTTCCTGGTCCCAGGAGCCACTGAGCTCCAAATAAGCAATTTTAAGTGACATTTTCAACAGTGAAAGAGATAAGCTTAAGCCCACCGAATCCCTATTAAAAATATAAAAGTGCTTAAGGTGATATGCTGTCCATTGATAGGCTCAGTATTGTAAATAAACAGTGGCCTTACCAGTGATAAAACAAAAAACAAAAACCCAATCTGTGAGCAAACAATCCATCTGACACACAATAATTACCACCTCCCTGGGTTTTGTTGTTTGGTGAAAGTGCTGAGGACACAAAATTCTAGTTCCCATAGTTCTTTTCTGGGGAGTTCAGAACATGCATCACAGATCTGCCCAGAGGGCCAAAGCAGATGATACATTAACTTGCACAATGACATTTGCCTGTGCTTTCCTTTTTACCATGGCAGCTGGGGGTGGAAATTTGAGACTGGGACTGCAGTGTGAGGAAGATCGGGGAGGAGGATCTAACACTTCTTGATGGAAATGTCCCCCACCCCAGTCAAAGCGACCATTTGCCCAGAAAGGAAGCTGCTATCCCAGTCTGGAACAGGGACCCCACAGCTACAGATATATGCACTGCACTGTCTCTGCATCTGCATCTTAGTGTCTCCATGAGAAGGACTCAAACTCAGATGACTCACAAGTCACCATACTGAGCACCACCTTCTACATTACCCCAGCCTAAGGGCATGGCTCTTCCATCATGCCTCAACTCTGGTGGCGACTCTCCTACAGCTTCTCCTGATCCACAGTCCTGCAGGAGTATGTTATATGTGCCCTTGAAGGGCTTCAGCCAACCCTCCTGGTGGGCTGGGGGAAGCCACTGGAAGAGAAGACCTTGACTGGCCTTCTTAAGCTTTCAAATGACTCTGGGCCTTTGCTGAGACAACATCTTCCAGAGCTCAGCCAGCAAGGCCCACTGGGAGCTGTCATGGGGCCTGAGCTGAAGTGGTTCTAGTAACCACTAACACACATCACTGTGCATGCAATGTATCATCAAGTGTGGTCCTGAAAGTGCATAGGATGAAAACATCCCTGCCCCCAGCACAATATATTGTGTGAAGAGGGAGCTACTGACAAAACAAAAAGCATGTCAAGACATCTTCTGTCCCCCTACCACTTTTTCCTTCGAACGCAGAACTCCCATCTTTCCAAAGCGCACGTGGAAAGGCGAACAGTGGAGGTTCCCATCAGGCTGGCGGACAACGATGACATCTATGCACCCAGACAGCGTGGCAGGATTTAATCCTTTATAGAGCTCCTTCACAGTCACAAAGACTTGGCCTGCTAACTGCCCAACGTAATTCATGGTTTGTGCCTGGAGAGGAAAACAGGACAGAGGGAAGCATCAGAATCTGGATGGACACATTAAGACCATTTGGCAACTGCAGAAAATAAGAGACCAAAAATATTCTATAAAACAACCTAAGGTGACTCTGGAAGGCTCTTGGGCCAAATCCTACACACACACACACACACACCCCATGAGGAGTACTGGTTAGCTTACTGGCTTCCCACAGGAGTGTGGAGTTTCCCTGCCCAAAGTTTTCTGGTGAGCCACTGGATTTCTCACAAGATCTCTTGGAGAATGGCGTCAGAGATAAAGGCTTACGGTTTCATCTCTCACCCCCAAATCTGCCCCAATGGACAGAGGAAGAAAACCCAATTGCCACAGATGACACTTCTTTTGCACTCCTCCTCTCTTGTCTCTGTGCTGGTTGAAAGCGCTGACTTCTGTGGCAATCAGATTTCCTCCTGTTTTCCTGAGCTACACCCCTCACCACCCTAGGCCTCACACCCTCCTTAAGTGTTTTTGCATGTCTCGAATGTGTCCTGAAACTCCAGTCATGCTTCTTGTTTGCAGGCTAGAGAGTGTTGGGTGGAACTAGTCTACAAACAGGTAAGATTCAGTACTTGCTCTGTTCGCTTTCACCGGTAACCTCACCTGCTCCTGGTCAGGTGGCCCCTAAAAAGTTGACCAGAAAATAATGTGGCCCTTGGGTTGTAGTCTACAATGTAACTTACTCCTAGGGAAGTGTGTACAGGATTTCAGCTTAAGACAGGCTCACAGTTGATAGCACTGCTCTTAAAATCAATCCAAGTCTACTGAACGGCCTTGACATTTCAGCATGTTAAGATATTTGGCAACGTAATGAGCAATGGAAAGTTAAAAAGACAACATCCACATTCCTCAAGAGCTGCCCAGCAATGCCCCAGCATAGTACGAAGCTTCAAGCAGAGGAACGTGAGCCAGTTAGTCCCAGATTCACATCTCACCACAACCATTAACTCACTTAGGTCTCTGGTTGAAACATTTAGGTAGCTCTAAGTAAATCCATGAGATTAGAGTGCAAGTCTTGAGAGACTTGGATCCAAATTTCTGCTCAGTTACAAAGTTCGCTGCAAGATCTCTGAACGGTCTTTAAGTCCTAAAATAATCTACCTCACAGTGATGTTGTGAGGGGAACAAATATGAATACCGTCCAGTGTACAGGGCTCCTTTTTGGAAGAAAGGACCCCTCAGCCTTTCGCCTCCCCATCTGCAGAGTGAGGGTCACTGTAGTGGCCCACCTGTTAGGTTGAGATGATTTTGTTATTAACTAAAAATATTTCTAACCCAAGCTTCATCGCAGTGCGATACCAGGGTATGATAGAACACAATATAAATTGAAACCAACAAACGTCATCATAAAACAGAATAGAAGGGAGCACATGAAAAAACAAAGGAAACAGCAGTCATGATAATTATCAAAATCTGGCTGGGAACCCTACCCCCACCACACAAACACACAAAAACACAGCTCTGCCAATACACACGACACAGCAGGTTGGGGTAGCAGAAATGTTTTGCTTAAAAAAAGACTGACAAGAGTCATTTACAAAAGTAGTTTTCTCCTAATGGTTATAATAGATCCACGAGAATCCCAGCCAAAGCTTAATTCTGTATCTTTGTTTCACATACCAGAGTGACATACAACAAATATGAATAAAATCAACAAAAGTATCCATGAAAACTTCATGAGAAACATCAATAAAACACCAGTTAAATACTGATTGGTTATAGAGAGAATGTTCATAAAGCGAAGGCCTGTTGAAACAACCTAAGTTTTCAAAAGTTGCCTCAAAGAAGGGAGGAGCGGTTCCTGCCTAACCTCTACTGGCAAGGAGTTCCACAGAGCACACAAAGACTGCCACACTAAAGGCTCAATCCATGGTAAATGCCAATCAAGCGTCAGGGGTGCTGGGAACAGAGAATGTGAGTGCTAAAACTGCATTTGCAACTTGCTGAAGTAAGCATTAGCTCTCAGTGAAATATTCAAGTCCCCAGGAACGTTCCCCAATTCCTAAGGAGACTGTATGTGGTCTACATGACACATTTTGTTCTGATTGATCCTAGAAAGCCTGCCTGCTGGTATCTCAAGAGCAGGAGTGCTAATAATAAACCAAACCAACTCAGTAAAATATAGTGCTACTTGCATTCTGTCAGCCTGCAACCTACATTTCTATCTAGGGTTTCCCTTTAAATTTCCAATTGAAAGAAAGTACTTCTTCACACAATGCGTAAGCTACGGAATTTGCTCTGTAAAATCAGGGAGGGATGTTTCAGGCCATCACCTGAAAGAAGTTGTGCATGGAAAAGCTTCTTGCAACTTGAGGACTTTCCTCACACATGTTCATTTGCCACGAAAACAGCACTCAACAAGAAGCCACAAGCAGTTCAGGCTCCCAAATGAATGTTTGCAAAGACAAGTTGGTCCCTGTTTCTCATTCACATTTTTTTTTCATATTTCATATTTTCAATACTTGGGGAGAGGGGGTGAGAATCAGTCCTTAACAGTAGCATCTTCTCCCTGTATTCCAATGAGCCAGTGACCTGTAATACATTCCTAGGATCCCTTCCACACACCTGTGAACATATATCCTGATGTTTTTGAACAAAGTGCATGGGGAAATTATACCTCCTTGGTTGTTTATTGAACATTCATTCTCTGGTTTGTTTGCAGGGAAGTTGTACGGTATTGTTGCACCAAGCAATTGGTTTCCAGCTCATTTTCCGGTTGCTTTCCTTACTACAGAAATGGGGTGGAAGGGAAGCAGGTTTGTTGTAAAAGGATGCCAACTCTGCTTCAGTTGCGCAACCTGAATTTGCTGGTATGTTGCTGAATTCTCACCCACAAAATAGCAACGGTCTGGAAGTGACATACCGTATTTTCACATGTACAGGATGCCCCCAATTTTTTTTCACCCAAAATTAAGAAATTAAGTTGTTTAGCTTTTGGGGGGGAGGTCACTTCCGCCAATCGCTCACCCACCTGCTCGCCACTGCCAATCGCACACCTTGCCGCAGCCGCCAATTGTCTGCCCACTCGCCACCACCAACAGCCCACCTGCCCACTTGCCGCAGCCGCCAATTGCCTGCCTGCCTCGCCACATCCGCCAATTGCCTGCCCAATTGCCACAGCCAATCGCCTACAGTCACCAATCACCCACCCAATCGCCGCAGCCAATCTCCTGCTTGCTGCTGCCATTAATTGCACATTCCCCCCTCTGCATTCACTATCTGTGTATAAGACGACACCCAGTTTTTGCCTTTCTTTTTTTCTTTTCTTTTTTTTTAGCAAAAGGCATCGTCTTATACATGGAAAAATACGGTAGATTCGCCTGTCCTTATCTCTTGCACTGAAAAGGCGTTGTGGCACAATAGATCATCACATGCTTTCTTTCTATGCAGATTGAAGCCCTGGGCTCCATCCCCAGCATGTGAATATATGGGAACAGGGCTAGCAAAACAAAAAACAAAGAAAGCTATGGATAGCCAGTGGCAGTTAAAATAGTAATGAGCATGACAGACCACTGGCCTGATTTAGTTATAAAAACAGCTTCACACTTTAGCAGATAAAATGTGAAAGTTCTAATGTGTTACAGAAGGCCAGCAATAAGTCTGTGCACCTTCAGCATAAAAATGGATACTCAGAAATTCTGTAGAATAAGTTTATTTGAGCATGTTTATAGAATCAAATGCGGCCCACAAACCATGTATTGCAACCAGGGAGCAGCTGGAAAACCCTAATTCCGCAGCCACAGTTTGGTAAAGTATGGAGCTTATAAAATCTTACGGTGGGCTACCATGTATTGCTTGGTAGATCACAATGGAACTTTTTGGGGGAGAGGAATATTATTTTTTTGTTAATAAGAACAGTAAACAGGAGCAGACATGAGGAAGAAGGGCGGTAGGTCAAAATAAGATGTTTAAAAAAACAGATACAACACGGGACAAAAACTAATCAGGAAGGAAAGAGTTCTCCAGTCATTAACATGTAGATCACAAGTTGTGCAGACCTCCTCTCAAAGGACCTGGCAACCCACTTTTGCTTGGTACTTTTGACAGCATGCCTACAACCTTGGCTCCCTTAACATTCTCCCTTTCACTGTGTGGCTGAGGCACACAGAATTCTCCTAATGTAAGGGCAGTCACATCAATGGTTACAGCTGCCCCAACATACATAGCAAAACCCAGTCAGAATGAAAGAGCAAGATAATAATATCCTTAACTCTGTGCTAGTCCGTGACCACCACTCTCTCCTTCTTGGGTTTTCTTTCCACAAAATCAATGTTGCATGCATTATTAAACACAAACTCCTCTACAAGTCTTCTGAATTGTGTTTATCCTATATGCTTTTCTTTGCCAATAAAGCTGATTAAGCATAAATCTATCCACAATTCAGAAAGCCATGCAGAAGGGAAGGAAATGTTTCCTTCTGAACATTCCCTGGGTGAGTATTTTCAAAATGATGATTAAATGCTGCATGCCTTGACAGTATCCACCATAATAGCTGCTTCGTTCAAACTCACAGTGTTCACAAAGTATGTTTAGAAAAGGTTTAGACCCGAAATACAACAATGTAAATTTGTGAGCATTGTTATCAAAAGTGATGAACAAGATAATGCACATAGCTTGATACATTTTAGAGCAGTGAAAAAATGGGACCCCACTGAAAGAACCATACTGTTCTCTTCCTCTTTTTGTAATTTATAAAAATGACACGATATGGTTTTTGAGATCTTCTCAATGGTTTGTTCTGCCCTCTTCACTCAGGCTTTAGGATAAAAATCACCAATAACAAGACCGACCTACAGAAATGAACTGACATTGTTTTACTTACTATTTACAAGATCATTTGGGGTCTGCCTTTTAGCCTCCCCAAAACAGCTTAAATCATCAGCCTAAAACATCATAACTAAAACTACAAGATGAACAACGAACTAAAAAAAATATCTAGAGCCACCTAAAATACAGTTCTACAAAGGGGACCAGAA